CTTTGCTAGTGACTACACATTGAACCAGAATGTGATACATATCACTGGTCATCTGCTGAAAGATTGCAAGAACAGAAAGAAATCTCACCCTTTATGAGGTCAGGCAGACAGAAGCCATTACACACGTTCTCAAGATAAAACAGTAACTAGCCCTCAACTAAGAGAACACTGGAAAGCATCACTTGTGATGCACACAGTCCACCCTCAACACATACTGGAAATGGAGCGACTGTCTCTGTTAGCTTGTCAGCTTCATCTCGCTGAGAAACCAACTCATCGTTATGATAGGAGGTAATTATGCAATTTGCATTCAGGCACCTACCATCACACAAAAACTGGGTGTTGGGGTGCTACTTTCCTTGATGTTTACATCAAGGTCCTTGAGAAAGGCATTCATGGGTCATCAAACTTAGAAAAGTCCTATCGAGTTTTCAAAAGGATTTATATACATTTCAAAGAGAGAAGAAACTACTTACATGTTTTCTGAAGTAAGAGATCTAAGAAAACAGAGAGGAATCTCGACGGGTAGAATGAGGCCTCCTACTTTTCATTTTTCTTTGTCCTTACACACCCTACCCCAAGCATTCAGACTCTGTAGGTCTTCTGATTCCGATACTTTGATCTGCCATTTTCAGGCCCTGCAGGAGATCCTGCAGAGAACCTGCTAGTCTGTTCAGAACAGTGTATGAGGGCTACAGACAGCCGTGAGCAACACGGTCACCGGAGGAGACTGATGAAAATGCACATTCCCAGAACCTGAACAGGGCAGCACTACATCAGCGGCTCAGAGGCGGGGCTGGCAGTGGCAGTCAAAGAAGCCCTCAGGAGGCCTCTGATGTTCTCTGCAGACTGGGAATCGCGGCCTTAGACTACAGCATCCATTTTCACAGGGGACACCTGGAGCCCTGGGGAGAAGGACCACTTTCCATAGGACACAGAGACTTAAGTAGTTGGAGGATTTATCTTTTAGATCTTCAAATTCTAGTTCTTATGGTTAAAATAGCATATTTTTTAGAGTATTGCCTGTGGTCATCCCTGCTACCTCTTCCTCCCATCTATGGCCATGGCCATGTTTCTCCCTCTTTTAACAAAGGAAAGGAGGCATAAAAGGGGGGGCTGTGTATTTATGATTGTCCAATACCCCCATCCCAACCCAATAAGCTTTCGATAAAAATATGTGCTGCTAAAAACAAATTCCATCAAATAAATTCAAAGATCCAATGGGCTCATTAAGTAGTTTGTGAACTGGGAAGCAAGGTGCTCCGAGGGGCTGTGGACTACGGAAGGTTTTCCTAGGCAGGAGGGTGGTGCAAGAAGTATTAGCCAAAGAAAAGAACGTATTTTCTCAGGCCAGGTCATCTTATTAGGGGGGTGGGGGAAGACCAGCAGGGTTTTATCACACAGATTGCCCAACTAGTGCTAGTCAGAACATTTCAGTCTGACTTTTTAAAGGTGACGCTTCTGAGAAAGATTAAAACTGCAGTTAACTCCTGGTTTGCTGTTGTCAGGACAAATGACTCCATTTTTGGCCTGTTGACAAGGCAAATCTCTTAAAGCCACACACCTTAAAGTGCTGTCTTCTTCCTGGTTGGGTGGGGGGAAGGGGCTGCGGTAAAGACAATTCAAGATTTAGCTCTGGCCAGACAGCCCTGGAGCAGCTCGGGCATTAGAGCTTGGCCAAGAAGTACTGACGGCGTCTTCTTTCCCTGTGACAAATACACTGCAGACCCCGTCACTTCAGAATTTAGAAGATGAATGTTTTTATAAAAGATACTACTGATATAGTAGATGTGGCCAGCCCTGGCCAGACGGCGGAGCAGAGGAGGGGCCGAGGAAGGGAACTGCCTTAAGGAGCTGGCAGGACCGCCTCCTAGCACTTTGTGCCCGTGCTGCCCTGAAGGGGGCGCTGGGTGACAGGTTATGTGGTGCAGGGGGAGGTCATTGCTGAGTCTGTCCGGCTCGTGAGAGCGACTGACAACGGGAAGCCCCTCCTACTTCCTTTGGTCTGGTCTACTTCCAGGGGACACGGCCACACGTGTACCACACAGATCAACAGGGCAGCAGGGGAGGCCTGTCAGTCTGGCCTGGAAGAAGGATGGTATTGGCTGGGGGAGATGTACCCCTCCAGAGTGCACGGAAGTGTGGGCTGGGAAATTTAAACTCAGGGAAGGAAGAAATGCTCTCTGTTCCTCTCTGGGACCCACAGCACGGACGTGTGAGCTGGAGGTTTGCGAGACTGGTGGGTGGTGAGCCCAGGGCTGGCAGGATGGAACCCCTGCCGAGGCCGGCAGCAGCGGCCTAGGGCACTGGGTGGCATGGTGGTGCTACCCACATGCAGACTCCAGAAAGGAGTCTGAGGCCTGACAGTGGGGGAAGAAGTCGAGCTGCTGAGATGATCATAGGGCATCCACCTGCAGTTCCCAAAGGCTGGTATTTTTAAACGGGAGGAGGAACTGTGGGCACGGACTTGGCCTGGGCTGGTAGAGGGTGGCAAGGTTTTTCCTTCTGGGGGGGATGGGCTCTGAGGCAGAAGCCTACCATTCTTCCAAGTTGCTCAGTTTGTGAATGAAAGACCTGGTTCCTTTTTTCAGCAAACCTCTGCCCCTGGAATTTGCCTATGGGTGGCGGCGCCAGCAGCTGAACCCCATTTTCTGTTCAATAACATTATCGTGTTTGTTTGATTTAGGGGGAGAAAAATAAAGTTAGATGTTTTCTGACCAAAAAAAGGCCCATGCTTTCCTTTGGCTGACTGGTCTAACATGAGCACTGGCTTTGGCTAACCTGTGGAAAATGGACAACATTGTCCAAAGACTTAATGAGTTTAAACGTGAATCTCCAAGGTTTTGAAGAAAATACAGTCATGTGTTGCCTTAGGGATACACTCTGAGAAATGCATTGTTAAGCAATTTCATCACTGTGTGGACATCGCAGGGTGCACTGCACAAACCTAGATGGTACAGCCTACCACACACGTCAGGGCTGTACTCAATAGCTGGTTACTCCTAGGCTACAAACCTGTTACAGCATGTTACTGTAATGAGTGCTGTAGGAAACTGTAACACGATGGTATTTATGTATCTAAACATCTAAACATAGAAAAGGCACAGTAATATATAATAGTATAAAAAGCTAAAACTGGTGCACCTGTGCAGGGCACTTACCACTAGTGGAGTTTGCAGGTCGGGAGCTGCTGAGTGAGTCCGTGAGTGGTGAGATGACGCGGGGACCTTGGACTTTACTGTCCACTACTGCAGACTGTGAGTACTGTAAATGTCCGCCACACTACATTTGTAAAAAACAGCTTGCTTTCTTCGGTAATAAATTAACCTTAGCTTACTGTTGTTTTTTTAACTTTATAAAAAAATTTTTTTTAAGTTTTTTGACTCATTTGTAATAACATTTAGCTTAAAACGTATTGTACAACTGTACAAAAAGTTTCTTCCCTTATATCTGCACTGTTTTTCTATTTTAAAAAATTTAATTCTTTTTAGTTTTTACACTTGTGTGTTAAAAACTAAATGCAAACACATACATTAACTGAGGCCTCAGTTTAAGTTTTCCTGTGTCTTCCCTTACTGTCTTATTAACTGTCAAATTCATCACAATTACATGGCTCTTCTCCTGGTTCTCAACCCTAGATACACATTAGAATTACTTGGAGACCTTTGAAAGAACTCCTATGATATACAGCAATGATAAAACATAGCAACGACAACAAAATCCAACACTGTAAGCCATGCCTTCTCATTTGTTAAGATACTGCAGAAATAATCAAGCATAGGCTAATAAAGAAACCAAGGCCTTTAATGGAGAGACTTAGGCCCTCTCCATTAAAGCAAAGCAGTAAATTTCGTCACTTACTTTGGCGGGATGATTCCATTTTCTCCCTCTTTCCTTCCTCCTTTCACACCTCCCTCCCTCCCTCCTCGTTTTATTTTCCCCCTAACTGTTCTGAGGATGGAGACTAAGGGGAAGACTATTTCTGTCCTAGTAAATGAAGATTTTGTAGTTCTCTATTCAGAGACATACTGGTTCTCTGCAATGGACAGCCTGGGTTGCTTCTCCAACACCTCCACCTTCTCCTTTCAGCCAATTCTCCTGATTTTCAGATGCATATCCTCTGCCTCAAATCAAGTATGTTTCCGGGAAGCAAACCACTCCCACTTGTAAGTCTGGGGCACTCGGATCAGGCCCAAACTGATTCACAGACCCTTGGGGAAGTTATTGGTTGATAAGCACAAAAGCAGCACAATATGGGTGAATAGGGCTGAGGAGAGAAGCTTCTTTTCCCTTCTTAATGCATTTCTAGCTAGAAGTGACCCCAACCTCACCCTTGCACTTAATAGCCCTGGGAATTGTAGCCATCTTGTGACCACATGGGGAGCTTGCTATAAATGAAGCTGATGACAGGGCATGCAGGAAGGAGTGATAGGAAGAATCAGGGTCTTTCCTGAGAAGTCTGAGTCACTGAATTCAACGAACTGAAGCCTAATGAGCTTCTGGGAGTGCAGTGAGCCAGTAAATGCTCTTCGGGGTTTAAGCTAAACATGGAAGTAGTCCGAGTTGGGTTTTCTGTTATTTGCAACTTAGGTGCGTCCTGAAAGATCCACTGCACACATTACGGGGATGGAATGCCTGTTTTAGCATTGAATTGCATTTTTTGTCTTGTTTTTGTCATTATTGTTCAGGTACAGCTGTATAATTGAACTGCATTTGGAAAAGCTAATAGAGTGCTAAAAACAACGTATTTGACTTTTGAGTACTTTTTGCTGTTGTACTTAGCAGTTAAGTACTTTCTGTACTAAGAACTGCCATTTGGCTTCAGGTTGGTCTTGCAAAAAGTGCAGCAAGCTGTGTAAGTCAGTTTATTCTGTAATTATTAGGGGAGTCTCCAGTATGTGGCATTGCTCCTCTATCTACAAGACAATTAGTATGATGTTAATACCAGGTGAAGGAGAAAGATAACATTCAGCAAATAAAACATACTGCAAAACAATGTATGTAATAGCACATTGGTTTTATTGATAGCAGAAGAAAAAATTCTTTCGCTTGTAAAATGTATTTGTTTCACTGAGTTCAGTGTTTTTCCCCATTCTTTGTGTAGGTCAAATTTTCCCCCCTAAAATCTGCTTTTTCATTCTCCAAATAATAATATCCACCCTGGCTACAAAGGAAAATGGGAAGGTCCACCAACAGGTTTCACCAGGATGTTTCCATCATGGGCTCCTTTCTTCATCGAGACTCTATTTTAAAGAAAGAGAGGAAGAAAGTGAAATTGGATCCACAAATTGAATTTTCCATACTCAACACACACTTCTACCGAAACTGAGCTGTAAATGTTAAGTGCCTGTATAAATATCAATAGATCTCAAGTGGAATAAAATGGACACTGCTGTCTAATTTATAAACATAATTTATATAAAGCAATATGTAACCCCAAAGCAAAATCTTTCAAAATAATTTTTTCTTTTACATGGGAGAGGTGGGTGAGTGGGGAGGGGATGGAGGTGGCAGAGGGGATGGGGGATAACTGGTAATGGAAAAATATAATAAAAATGAACTATTAAAAATAAATAAATAAAAGGAGGAAAAAGAGTAATTTTTTCTTTTAAATTCTTATAGTACATCTGTGTCACCCTTAGCCCCTTTATTGTTAGCAAGCTGATTTTAGGAATTTCCATTAACCAAATAGTTTTTAACAGAGAATGACTTAAAAAAGTAACAGCCTGCCCGTGAACCACTTCTACCTCCGTCCTTCCACCTCCATTTCCCCTTTGAACACCTGTGAACTACTGTATTTTGCCGTGTATGTGCATTTTTTACACAAAGTTTTGAGGGAAAAATGATGCGCATTATACATGGGTATTATGATTATATACCACGGGTATAATAATCCCATGAATAATGTGCACAAAAACGTGGGTGCGCATTACACACGGCAAAATATGGTAGTTCGGTTCACATGGGTCATTTATTTCAGTCTGTCACCTCCCTTGTCCGCTCTTTACCTTTATAGGTACCAGTCTAGTTGAAACACTTTGGGTGGTGACAACAGAAAAAGCTGAGAGCAAGTGGAGAGAAGCCTTGTTTGCTCTGGTTCTGTTTGAGTTTCATGTATAAAAGAATGCTCGGGCAGGGCCAGGCGGAGCTCCCATGGCTGCACACAACCACTCGTACATCTCCCAAGGTGAAGAGTCCCCCCAAAGTACAGAGCTTTGGGTACTACCATCCTCACAAGAAGCCCAGCCTGCCGGCACCACCGGGCTCCACGACAGCTGTCTCAGGAATAGTGTTCATTTCCCTGACCTTGATTTGAAAAATGTCACCACACCAGATTGTCAAACAAATTCTTCACATTTAAAAATATATCTTGAACCATCCCTGGCCAAGTGGCTCAGCTGGCTGGAGCATCATCCTGTGCACCAAAAGGCTGTAGGTTTGATTTCCGACTAGGGCACACACACAGGTTGTGGGTTCGATACCCAGTTGGGGTGTGTACGAGAGGCAACTGATCAGGTTTTCTCTCACACTGATGTCTCTCTTGCTCAAATCAATAAACAGCCTCAGGTAAAGATTAAGTTAATTAATTAATTAATTAATTAAAAATAGCTATTTTACCAGTTCGAAACAGTGTTAAAACCTTAGAAAATGAACAAAGTCATGGTATTTATGTAGCAATATATGATTAGCTGTACTTTTCAACATTTGTGGTTAATATGGGAAACTGAAAAGATGATTTTTCCATCAAACAAATAAGAAACTAGAAATGAAGTTCAAAGTGAGTCAACATTTATTAAACTGCTTCCCACGCTGAGCCTTACCCTCCACTGCACCAGGGAACCCCACACTGATGGGCCTGCCATTTCTCCTTTCGGAGCAGGACGTGAAAGCCTGACCCCTCTTGACTGGACCACTGCATTCACCTCTTAGATGGTATAATCCATCGACATCCAACATTGTAAGTGTAATTTTGAACATGTCACTCTTATTCGAAAGTTCATGATAGCACCAAACAATCCAAATTCTGAAAGTGTCTAAAGCCATTCCCTTTGGCCACTACCAATAAATACCGTGAACACCCAGTGTTTTGGCTTATGTACGCTACTGGAGCCACAGAAGGTTGCTTCCTGGGGTCTGTGCTTCTTCCCCTCTTTAATCTTTCCTTGGCCTTTAAAATCTCTTTAGAGGTTTCTCTTGGTAGGACTCTGCTCTACCAAGAAAATGAAGCTTAAAATTAATTTCTAAAGCCTACCCCTACTACCGCAGCCTGGTTCCTATGACTGCAATGTCAGAAAACTTGCCAAATACACATAGTTTTGGTCAGTTTCACTGATTAATTTCTCTGTCTATATCTGTTCATATTTCTAAGTTGTCTATAGCAGCTACAAAAAGGCCATGAACTAAAAATTTGAAGTTTTGGGTCTTCCCTCAAAGCTTTGACCTGACTAGTTACCACTTTTCCTCCGATGTGGGCCTACTTCCCCACATCCCTCCCTGAGACCCCTCCTCTCACTAACCCCGACCCCCCGTATCAACTGCTTTTGTAGTTGCTGATATCCTCAGTACCAGGCTCAAGTAGAACACAGTCCCTCCCCACTTTGGGTGAAGTATATGTGTATGTGAGGGTGGTGGTGGTAGGGACCTTTGGCCTTATTTTAAAACTTGTTCTAAACAATTTAAAACACCTCAGGAAGCTAAGAGGAAATTCTCAGTTTTCATTCACCTTAAGAAAGATTTAACTGTAAGTATACTAAACTTATTTTAAGTGTTTTATCACTTTTTTTATTTAGGCATTTTATATCTGTTTACTAAATATCCTTGAATTAAACACAAAGAAAAGCCAATGATAAAAGGAGAAAGCTGTTATACACGGTCTTGCTCAGGAAAATCAGAAGTCATGTTTCCTCTCCAGGCCAATTAAAACACGAAGAGGTAAGAGCTGGGACATGAAAGCTGTCTTCACTTAGAGATGACAGTGCTAATTTGTAACCATTGAAGGAGCCATGGGGGCGCTGGGGAAGGTGCGAGACTCTGGGTCAGCGCCGTCCAGCAGAAACAGAACGTGAGACACGTGTCATTTTTAATTCTCCAGTAGCCACGTTAAAAAAAAATAAAATGCAGAAGTAAAATTAATTTTAATAACACATTTAACCCAATCTATCTAAAATGTTTCAATGTGATCAACAAAAATTATGAAGATATTATTGAGATATTTTACTTTTTAAAACTAACTCTTTAAAATTTGGTATGCATTTTTTCACTAATAGCTCATCTCAACTCAGGCTGGCTGCATTTCCAGTTCTGAACAGGCGCAGCTGGTCTGAAAACTTGAGCATCACTTTGCAGGGGACAAATATGATGTGGAAAACAGCCTTAGTGAAACAAGGAGCTGAAAGGAGGAATTAAGAACGATTTCTTTAAAATTCTCAATGGTCTTGTTACTGAGAAGAGACTGAGAAAAACAGATACAATTAAGTCTAAAATTCTCTTTAGGGTGATAGATAACAAAAGCTGGAATGGGAAAACTCTGAGTATTAAAAAAATATTTCCTTCCAAAAATGTACTAACAAATAATGTCTTTGGTCATCAAAATGAGACACCTCAAATTACTCCTACAATTTCCTAATGTTTCGTCATATTTTTCTTCCGTTCAGTGGGAGATGATTTTCAAAGTTTCTGTTCTGGATCGACAGCCTGAGGCCCCCAAATTACATCTCAATAAGCAAGCATGTTGTCTTCTCCCAATTCCTTAAGGTGTACTCTAAAACATTTACTCTTTCTTAAAAAGAATTGAGATTAATTAAAAAAATTAAAAAATATACTCATTATCCAGATTAGTCCTTTGTTTCCTTTCATCATCCTGCTCTCAAACCTGTGGTCACTTTGCTGACCGTCCACCTCCATTAGATGAGAGTGTGTTGAGAGAAAAAAGGGGATTAGAGATCGCATTTGTGGGCAAAGGCCTGGGGCAAAGCAGTTTACAACTATGGCTTAATTTTAAATGTGTTATAACTGGAAGTTTTTAAAACACCACTTTTTCCTATTACACTATTATGAAATATTAATAATGGGACCTCCTTATTTCACATAAATGGCATCTTTTTTAAATATGGAAATCACCTTACAATGTCAACTTTACCTTTTCCTGTTAGTTCCGGGCCCGGGGAGGTTGGTAAAATTGCTGGGTTGGCCGAGTGGATCGCCGTGGCTGGCCATCACCTCCTCTGCGGAACTCGAGGGTCTGGTCATAGGTTCCTTCTTCCTCCTATTTGCAAAACATAGTGATGAAACATGTTCAAAACAGCTCCAAGTTGCCTAAGTTAAATACATTTTATGGTCTCATCTTGATACACCCTCTTAAGCTGCCTATGACTCATATCCATCAACGTTTATAACAGAGAGAGGCAAGAGGAAGAAGAAAACCTCTTTTGGTCCTAGGTAACAGAAGAATAAACACTTATAGTGGTGATATTAGAATCAAACTTAATTCTAGAAAAGGAAACCATTTCCACATAACAGCATGATTCTCTCTTCAAATTACATGACACACTAGTGTGAAAACATAGAAATCCAAGCATCGTGATAAAAATTTTCTTCACTATTTGGGCTTCTAAATACTTCTAGGTGTTTATCATGGAAAGAGGTTTGGTAAGACATGGAAAAGGGTTGGAAGAGCCTCAGAATGGTCACCAGTCTCTGTCCTCATTTGACGAAATCTCCAGCTTCATTAAGAACCTTACATCTAGAGACAGGAAAAAATAATGGATTGGAATGAGGAGGGAAACACAATTTACATATACAGAAGGCTTCATGCAAGACACAGCAATAACCACAGTAAGAAACAAACTAATTTCTTCTCATTTTCTTTCTTACTGAGGGAGTGGGTCAGCCAGCTTAAGGAATAGCGTGGGCAAATTAGGATAAGCAGAAAGACTATAGTTAATCATAACATTTGAAAAGCACTTAGAAGCAACAGAAATGGAGCCAAAAGCCACACTGGTTTCTTACTGAGTGCTGCCACCCTGTTATTTTAGTGTTTGTCAATTAATGTGGCTATGAAGTATGTTCCCTTTTAGAGACAGAAAAAAATTGGCTCAGTTTTGTTTGTGGAAAGAAGCAGGCCTATGGCAAAAGTTGTTTCAGTTCCAACTGCATTATCAGAGCACGATACTTTGCATGGCTTCAGAAATTCATCCTACTTCTTTCTCCTCCTCACTTTATCTCTGAATTTTCCCCCAAAGTATCATTTTCCTTTGACCCTATTAATAACATAGGAAGTTATATGAAAGACTGAGTTCTACTCTCTTTACATTTTACCCATCTAACTATCCCAGTTTTATCTAATGGGAACAGAAAGGTGAAGACGATGTGATCAAATCCTAGTATTTAGAAATAATTTTTAATATTTGGCATGAACATAACCCTCATTAGGCATCCCACATGGTATTCATAAGAAAGAACCATTATTTCCAGTTATGCTAAGGATACCAAGCCTAGCAAACTGTAGGGCTTTGCCCTAACACTTAAGGCAAACCTGAGTTTACATTCAAAGACTTCTGCTAAACCTTTAAAATCTCAGTTTGTATGTAGAAGAAGTAAACCAATAGCTAAAAATTAATGACCATCCTGAAAGGGATTTCATCACCTAAGTAAGAGAATGGAGGAAGCTGTCAATATTTGATATAACTCAAAAACTACATTTTATTTTAGAAATTCCAACATGCATCTTTGTTGTTTTACTGTCCTTCTGTTAAAGAAAATTGCCAAAACTCATAGCAGATTTGGCAGAACATATGATCAGACATTTTACAAAAGATATAGAAATAGCAAATACACATCTGAGAAAAGCTTTCTATAAACCCTTGGGGAAATGCAATCAAACAATAGTGAGGCAGCACAACAAAGTTACTTTTAAAAGTTTAGATAAAGAACAATTGACCAAACCAAATATTTTAGACACAAACTCCCGATTAGGTCTCCTTTTTCTGTGCCCCTTTCATTAACAATCAATCTCAAAATGGTTGGAAGCATCATATATGTTTATAACTTAGTAAGCAATTAAATTGCAGGAAGAAAATTAAGAAGTGTACAGGAAAGAAAAGAATTAGTTTTATCATTCTGGTCACTGTTCTGATGGATGATTATTAAATATAGCTACATTTGAAAGGAGCTATTTAATTGTATAAACACTGACAGCATTTGAAGCTTTGCATGTTAACTGAGAACAACAAGAAAAAACAAGCAATCCGTTATTTGGTAATGCAGAAGATGAAATAATCATTTCAGGAATTATTGGGAACTGCTCTGCCTGGTTTCAGGAATTGTAACTACCCCCCGTGGCTAAGGCTGAGTGAGGGACCTCCGTAATGAGAGCCACTAAGGAGACAAAGCTTGTCTCTGGCAGCAACACTGCTTCTGCTTCATCCCCTCTCCCCAATGCTTGATCGGTTAGTCAGAGATGGGTAAGACCCCTCAGAGGGGGGGCAACCTATGCCAGATACGATCATGTGGAAGGCCATCAAGGAAGGACTTGGAGGGGCTGCAACAAAGAGGGAGTGATGGACCCTCGCGCCTCCCCTGCCCCCCGCTATTCTGACATAGCCTGAGTCCCCATTTCTGTCTGGGAGAATCGCTTCCTGGCTCTAATTCACTTAAGCCTAAAAACCTATGACTGGGAAGGTTGTGCAGCCCTTTGCCGGCTGGAGTGGGATCCAGGGTGATAGGGCATAAGAAAGAGTTCGCAAAGTCCTGTGAAGCCTGCTTTGCTAAGAGTGCTTCCATTCATATAAGGGTCCAAGCAGTGTCTCCCAAAGTTTTTGCAACCCCCTTACCTGACAGATACTGACTCAGACTAAGCCCTCAGATTTCTTTGAAATGTTATCTACTGTTTGATCCTTGCTGACTGACATTGATTGATGAACTTTACCTCTATTCCTGTGTATTACAACCTAATAAAAGCCATTGAGGAAGAGGTTCTTAGTCTTTCTCCTCTGAGAGATTGACCACCTCCCCTCCCGAAGCAGATCAAGTCTTGGCAGTTTCACTTTCATCCATGGCGATGGGGGGACTTGCAGGCGAAGTTGCCCCCACAAGGAATTAGAATGGAATGTTATTTTTCTCCACACCCAGCTTCAGAACTGGCCGCAGAACATATAAAATCTACACTTATACCAGTAAAATACATTGTTAAGGACAGAACACCACATCTGCTGAGTGAGCTGCATTACATAATAAATATGACATTGCTATTTGAAAAGCTGTCTCTACTGTGTTTAAAAGATTCACAGACTATACCAGCCAGAGCTAATTAAATGGTTTCATAGAGATGACGGATCTTGAGATTTCTTTTACATTACTTGATGTTTTTGCTCTCTCTTTATACAAAATGCAAGCAAAAAATAAAATGATACTGACAGCTTGGTTTTCAGTTATTATCAAAGACACAATCTTGCTTTTCAAACTTTTAAAATATTCTTCCTGCAGAGTAGTTGAGGGCAAACCTGATTTCCCACAAACACCACTTCCCTATAGTAGACGGTAATTTTTAGATGGAATAAGTACCACTTTCCATTTGTGTGACACAGCTCAATTTAACACATCAGTTTATTTGGACTCATCTTTGAATGAAATTTATACCTTGTTCTTTTAGCCTATCTTGTTATTTTAGGTTGTACTACTATGTAACAGATTTAAAACTCAAAAAAATTATTTCATAGTTTCTGAACATATTTAAAAATTTAACTCTGTGCTTGAGTTGGCACAGTCCTGGCATGCCATCCAGCCTGCCCCCCCATATCTGACAGACGAGGAATCTCTACGCCCAGAGAGGTGAAGTGATTTTCCCAAGCCATAGAGCTCATTACAGAAAAAGGCCAGACCAGGGCTGCTTTGTTTCTGACTCTAGGCAGCATTCTTTCAAGGACTTGCAATCGATTTGATAAAATGGAAGCAACCAGTGTCATCTTCACCTAAGCTTTTGAGATCTGTCACCATTTTATTGAACTCACATTTTTGCTCACTAAATGACTAGTATTTAAAATGTGCCTTCTTTTCATGCCAGTATTTACTAATTTATTGTTCCTTTTAGTGAAAAGATGCAAGATGCAATAATCATCATGATATCAAGCATAAATGAAGTGATGTTTTGAAAAAAACTCAAAGCACCAATGCAAAAAGGAGACGTACAATTTTGTGTATTATATAAAACATGTCCCGCAGGACATACTACATCTTTCCTGAATATCATCTCTAGCTTCTCATTAGCATAGCGTATCCACAAGTAAGATCAGAGGCAAATACATATCCCCTCATTTGTAAATGAGCTGTGTTGGAGAAGTTCATTGTAAATCGGTCACTTGGCCCGCTGAATATACTTCAGTAGGAATTGTGAAATACATTTAGAGGTCAGGTTCTCTGTCCCACAAACAGTAAGGTGAGGTGCAGCAAAGAGGGCAAATCAGTACCCTGAGAAAGATGTTGGATCAGTGCTTCCCAACGGGGAGTGACTTCATACCCCAGGAGGCATTAGCCAATATCTAGATATATTTGACTGTCACATCTGAGGGTGCAAGTGGCGTCCACTTGTGGGTCGGGAGACATTTCTGGTTTTTACAGACTAAATAGGTAGGACTGGGGGAGGCTGTTACTCCATCCAATGGTCAGCGATGGAGGATGCTGCTGAACACCTACAAAGCACAGGACAGCCCACACGACGAAGCACTACCCAGTCCGAACGCCAGCACCACTGAGGCTGAGAAACCCTGGGCCAGGCAAAAGGAAGAGAAAACTTCCTGCTCCCGTGTGCCCGGAAGTTTGGGTTTGCCACTTTCCCCTTTTCATTTTGGACATTTCTTCTTTTGCCTCTGCCTCTAAGGCCTAAATGCTGACCCAACCCTCTGTGGAACTTTTGTGGGGAGCTCCATTTGCTAACAACACTGTCTTCCTCTGCTCCAGCTGTATCTTCATAGTTACTTAACTTGCTGAGTTGCCTTACCTTAACTTACCATTCCTTTAGCATTTCTCCACAGCCATAACTTTGTGAGGAGAAAGGAGAGATTTCTGGTTGGTGGAACCGGAGATTGGGGATGGTAATTCTCTTCACAAAAACACTTAGAAAAACTTATTTTGTGCTGTTACCTGTGCTTGAATAGATGAGAGTATTTTGTGTGTAATTTAATAGTTATTTCTAGTTGGTTCCTTCTCGCAGAATTTACACAGTAGTCACAAACACAAGCCAGCATATCAAATGTATGCCACGTACCCTCG